CCTGTAATTGTTACAGATCTGTCAGCAATCAGTCTTAGTATTGCTGTAATTTTTGTCATTTGCTTTTGCTTTTTTTTTTTGTTTTGGTATCTACAGGAAGTGCCCTAAATTACACACACACACACATGCACACACACACACACGCAAGCACACATACATGTATGTACGCATGTATGCATGCATCTGACTTGCAAACTGAGAGGAAGTTTAGTGTAATGATGGGCTTAATCTTTTTTACATCATGGAACCTTTACCAATATGGTAGAACTTATGGATACCTTCTCAAAATAATTTTGTTACAATATCAAATAAAGTACAAAGTACATAGGACTGCAAAGGAAACCAATTATATAGAAATATAGTTATCAAAATATTTGAAAAATTATGATATAGTAATTTATCTTGAGGCAGATCTAACAACTTGAGTAATTTTGAAGTAGTATTGAAAATAAATCACAACTATAATGTGACATGAAAATATCTGATTCAATTTGAGATAAAATCACAAGTACTGCTAATAGTGTGTTCATTAATAATTGAAGGAAATGCCAAATTTCAGGTAGAGGTTAGTGAAAATAAGGATTTAAATTTTTTTCCTATCCAAGTTCACAAATCCCATGAAATATATCCATGGACCCAAGGTGTAATGGATAATAACATTGGGGACTTGGAGTCAGGAAAACCTGAATTCAAATGAAACCGATTGCATTTACTAGGTGTGGAACCATAGGCAAATCACTTAACCATAATCAGCCTCAGTTTCCTCCTCTGGAGAATGGGGATAACAATACCTGTAGGATCTATGTCATCAGATTGTTGGGGTGTGACTTAGATGTTATGGTATGGGTAAAGCATTCTGTCATCTTTCATTTATTATTATTATTTTTGTTGTTGTTATTAACCAATGATCTGAAGAGGCAGTGTGGTATAGTAGATAGGGCACTGGGCTTGGAGTCAGGAAGACCTGACTTTAAATCCTTCCTTTATCACTTATGAGCTGTGTTTCCCTGGGCAAGTCTTTTTACTTTTCTGGATCTCAGCTTCTTCATCTGTAAAATGAGGGTATTGGACTTGATTCTAAGGTCCTTTTTGGCTGTAAATCTACAATCTTATATTACCATCACCTGGCATCATCTGTGCTCTCTCTCCTGGAGTTTAAACTAAAAGATTAGGACCCTTTGTCTGAAAAAAAAAAGGCAGGGGGGTCTGAGAGAAAATATAATTGAAATCTATAAAATGATAAAAGAATAGAAAAGAAAGTTATTGCTGTTATTATTACTTACAAATTATGTGGAATATGCTTTATCCCACTCCTCCTTTCCACCCAGAGACTATTTGTATATAGAGATATAAATGTGTGTATGTATATATGTCCAAATATACACACACTTTTGCACACACATGCATGCGCTCACACAGAGACACACATTCCCTTCTCTTCTGATGCTGACCTATTGCCTCAGAAAATAATCTTTTAACAATCTATTTCTTTGAAGAGTCAAAAAAACAACTTTAATCATAGACAAAAAGCAGAAGCAGAAGAATAGTGCTTGAGATACACCAGGAGGTGAGAAAAGAAATGTCATGTTTTGAATTGAAATGAGACATAATAGGAACTAGTGCCACCAGCCCCCCAAATTCCTTCAAATGACCAGACCTCCCCATCAGCAATCTCCCTTTTCATCTTCCTCTAATTAAACATTTTTCCCCTCAATCATCACTATTCAAAACAAATAAAATTGTATTTCTAGCTGTTCCTTGTCCTTTTGGATTGCTGGTATTATAACAGTATTGTTCTCAATTCAATTCAGCAAATGTGTTCCCAGTATTATTTTTATTGCTGATGAATTGTTTCTGCTATATATCATGGATTGAACAAGGCTGTTATGAACTAATCAGGGGGTCTACCCAACATTTCTAATGTTGATTCTACAGGAAGATGAATTTTAAATTCCACACAATTGATTAACAAAATCAACTTCTAGCACACAGCGTGTCGGCGAGTTGAGGATGGGTGGATCACCTGTTGAGATAATGACTTCGTAAAGTTTCTACCCAGTACAGGATGTACTTCTTTTACTTTATTTATTGTAAGCTTCTTATCCTGTGCTTTAATAGGTAGGTAACATCAAATGAGATATTTGTAAAGCATTTAGCTTTACAAGTCCCTGGCATATAGTAGGTGCTTAATAAGTGCTTGTTTCCTTTTTTCCTCCCTTTTTTTTCTTTACTTAAGGTATGCTGACAATTTTTGTAGTGCTAGTATTCTTGGCTTTTTTATGACTATATTATTTTGTTATTATTCTTCACATCTATATAACTTCCTTCAACATTTTTATAATTAAATTTGATTCTTCTTCTTACCTCCCCCATTGAGAAAGCAAGAAAAATAAAATTACAAATACTTCATTATTATTTTTAAAAGTTATACTAATCTTAATAACCATCAAGAAAAATAAATGTGTAGAAATGTGAACAATAGGTAATAATGCTACATGGAATTTTTTTAACTTTTTTTAGGTCTTAGAATCAGAGAATCTAAGAATTTCTAGGAACATAGATGTAGGACTGGAAAAAGCCTCAGCAGCCACCTTGTCCAGCCCATACGTGAATAAAGAAAGATCTCTTTTGTAATATTGCAGACAAGTAGTCATCCAACCTTGCTGCAAGACTTCCGGAGATGGGGATCCAATAATAGATACCAAGCACTTTCAGCTTTTTACATGTTATCTTATTTGATCCTCCCAACACCCCTGGGAGGGAAGTGCTATTATTGTACCCATTTTACAGATGAGTAAACTGAGAGACAAAGAAGCTCTTATGTACCCAGGGTCACATAGCTGGTAAATATTTGAGGTAGGATTTGAATTCGGATTTTCTTTCCATGTGAAAACAACTCTCTCATCTGCCCGTTGGTCCTTTCTTCTCTAGGAGCAATATTTTCCAGTTTCTTGAACTGATCCTCATGTGACATGAGCCCAAGACCCTTCACAGCTGGACGAGCTTCCCCTTCAATGTTCTTTCATTTATCAAGGTCCTTCCTAAAATATGGTACCCTGAATTGAACACAATACTCCACATGTGGGTTTGACCACAGAATACAGGAAGACTAAACGGCACAAAACAGTAACAAAATGTCCAATTTGCTTCTATTCGCTCTTGAATTTTTTCTCTTCTTTTGTTATTTTGTTAACTTCAATACTAGAGGGTATCCCAAAAGCCCCAGTGCAAATTAAAACTGTTGTGGTTTATTGTTCAGTCATATCCAACTCTTCATGACCATATGGACCATACTGTCCATGGGGTTGTCTTGGCAACAATCCTAGAGTGGTTTTCTATTTCCTTCTCCAGTGAATTAAGGCAAACAGAGATTAAGTGACTTGCCCAGTTCACACAGCTGTTAACTGTCTGAAGCCAGATCTGAACTCACGTCTGTCTGACTCCAGGCTCGTACTCTGTCCACTGATACACTTAGCTGCCTAATTAAAAGTTGAGTTAAGTTCAAAATACAGTTAAGACTTTTGAGATATTCTGTATATAAGACTTTGTCTTTTCAAATTGAAAGGTCCAAAGCTATTTTGTTTAAATAACCAGCAAAAATGATGAAACTCATGCTGATGGTATTGATGATAACAAAAGAAGTAGAATGAAGTCTCTTTTGGGGCTTCTAAGAAACTGATGAACATTTTTAAAATATGCTAAATTAAAAAAAAAGAATATAGCCTACAGGAAAATGGCACTAAAACACATTTGTAAATATTTGATGGGACAGGAGAAACCATGAAATTTATAAAATAAAAAAAAATTTAAAAGTCAACTATTGTTTCAACTAAAAAGTTAAATTTTAACTCCTTCAGTGCCAATGAAAACAAACCAGTAATAGGTTTGAAGTTGTTTTGATTTTGCTTCTGTAATTAGAAATAGGTATTAGAAGAAAAACATGAATTTGTAGTTTAGTATAATTGCTGCAGACCATGTATGTTACTAGAGGTGGCAAGGCATGGTGAATAGAGAGTTGGCTTCAGTTTCAGGAGGACCTAGGTTCAAATCCTGCCTCTGATCTATACTAGCAGTTTGACTCTGGACATATTTGACTTCTCAGTATCCCAGGCAACTTTCTCAGACTTTTAATTTAATTGCTGCTCTGCATTGGTAGAGGAAATTTCTCTCAAAGAAACTAATCCAAATCTTATTTCTATGCTTCCTTCTCCCCCGAACCCCCAAAAGAGAAAGAAACAGGCATTCGAAGAATCTAAACATAAAATTGTAATTCAATACAATTGGTGCAGAGAATGAGTATTATGACTGATACCTATAGAGAACTGCAGAATGAAAAGTCATTAAGGGATTATGATTTGTATTGATGGCAAAAGTACCCACACTGAAGAAATCCAGGATATAACAAAGCAGAGAAGAAAATTAGTCTATAATGGGTAACTTTGATTCATATTTTATAACCCTATTCTTATATTTCAGATGATGGTTTCCAAATGCACTTTACAAAAACAGAATCAATCAATACTTGGGGGGGGGGAGAGGCGTGGAGAGTTGGTAAGCACAATAGTATGTTCTCTTCTTTATCTAGGAAGGAAACCGTAAATTTTACCTAGGTCAACAACCCAAGAAATAAATCTGTTTCTTTTACATGTGTTTTCGAGCAACGCTGTAGAAGAATAAATAAAGCAAGCCCAGAGTGTGCCTACCGGCTTCTAATGACATTGAGGACTATGATGACCTCAGTAAATCACTTTCAAAAGCTTCATTCTCCTGGTTGATCAAGTTACTAGAATCCCCCAATGCAATTACAGTCTCATTACACTGCCCAGCATCCATAATTCCATAGGCTTTCCTAGAGTAATCACTTTGCTGTCAAACATGAAATATTCCTAACATAACATAGTAAATGGTCTGATCAAATATTCTTACCTCTGTCTCTCAACCCCTTTCAGCCAGTGGCTTGCGGGCTAGGCATGTGAAAAAGAGAAAAAGAAAGAACTTACCATCAGACATGTGACGATCATTATAAAGATACTGAGGAAAATGACAACAGCATAAAATCCTTCTTTGCTCCAGATCTTATCCGCTTCATGTTGCCCTTGTAAGACGTTGGTCTTGAAAGCAAAACAAGAGAGCCTTGTGTTAGATGAGAAATGGGGTTGGGGGGGGAGGAGGGAGAATAGATTAAAGTTCTTATCAGGAACTGGCAATATTTTTAGCTTTGTTCCATACCGTGTGGTAGAGCACACCGACATTCACTGCTCCCACAGCTACCCAAACCGAGCTAAACAAACGAGCTGGAAAGTGTTTATAGGATGAATCTGAAAACATCCACAAATGATGTTCCGTCTTCTCAGAGTCCCCCACACGGCATGCCACATTCTGGTTCGAGGCTAAGCAAGCTCCCCCCGTGCTCTTCCTTGGCAACTCCTGAGTCCGTAAGGTAAGGAGGCATTTGGGGTTTTCTCCCTTTGGAGGAAGTTCCTTCCACGAACACTCTGGGCTCGCCTTGCCTTGTGCCTCCTCTCTTCAGCACCTACACTCTAGCTCACGTCCTGCCTGGAACACTGCTCCTGTACCTTTAAGCAAAAGTGAAACAGGTGCGAAGGAAACCTCATGATGCATTCAAAAAAAGACCTGCTCTGACAGGGTCGTCTCCTGTTTTTGTTGCTTCTTTAAAAACAGTTTCGCTGTGCTTGATTCTGATTAAAGCAGTATCCCAACCTTGGGGATTACCAGGGATATTACATTTTTTTAAAGCAGCTGTGAACAACAGAAAATGATAGAGCTATCTGGGAATGAGATGCAAACCCCCTGCCCCCCCCCCAAACAAATATGGTTTATTTCTTCTTGACTGCTGTGAAGAAACTTGATTAGACTGTGAATGAATGACACTTTTGGTTTGATTTCTCATGACCCTTATCCTACCCCAAAGTGTCTTAAAAATTAATATTTACTGAAATAAGACATGAAAAAAAAGTTTTATAACTACCAAATGTGGTTTTGTGGAACGCAACAAACAATTTTGACTTGAATCCTCCGACAGAGGTAATGTAGTATACTGACCTGGAGTCAGGAGAGACCTGGGCTAGAATCCTGCCTCTGCCACTTATGTGAAAAGTTGGGAAAGGAACAAGCACTTATTAAGTGCCTATGATGTACCAGGCATTGTGCTTTATAAATATTATGTATATAAATATAAATATTATAAATATTACTAAATGTGTGATCAGAGGCAAGTCACTTGACCTAACTGATCCTCAGTTTCCTCATCTGTGCAATGCCAATAATGATACCTGTATCTAATAATCTGCCTCATGGAGTTGTGATGAGGTCCAATTGGAATAATAACACGCAAAATAATCTGTTGTACCTCAGTTATCTTTTCAGCATCTTTAGTCAATCAAATATCAGACATAACAGATAGAAAGTCAGCTTTACTTGAAGTTTGAAGAGCAGAGTTCAAATCATCCCTCTGATGTATATTGGATGTGTGACCCTGAGCAAGGCCATTAGTTTCTCAGTGCCCCCAGGTAACTCTAGGACTACAAATTGCAGAACAGATGCTGATTTGCAGAAACAGAGAGCATTTCCTTATCAGGAGCTCCCTGCAGCAATGAAATCATAAGGTCCAGTTTAAGATTTCTGGAAGCACAGCAGTTCTTTGATACGTGAGTGATTTAGAAAAGCTATGATGCTTGTCTAAATAATAATATTTGGATGCTTATCTAAACAATGATTGTAGGAACATTAAGTTTCCTTCCTGTGTAACCAGAGGAGGATTTCAGCATATTGAATGAAAAGATGTATGGATGATGTTAGAAATGGAACATGAGAACAAAGACAATTGTGGGTTCCAGTGTTGCTTTGCCTTCTTTCTGTTGGAGCTGAATCACAATTAGCCTTGTGTCTTGGTAACCACACCTAGGCTAGACAAAAATAAAGCCCCTGTAAGAAACCAGGTGAAACTCTGGGAGGGAGATTGGTTCTTTTGATGTGACAACTTAATATAAACCTCTGTGTCAAAAATGAACTGGGAGGGCATTCATGAAATGTTAGAAGATCAAATATAGGCAATGAAGGGTGATCAGAAGATTTGTAACTGCCTAAAAGAGGGAAGCTAGGTGGCCCAGTGGACAGAGTGCCAGGCCTGGAGTCAGGAAGACTCATCTTCTTGACTTCGAATCTGGCCTGAGACACCTACTAGCTTTAGGACCCTGGGTAAGTCACTTAATCCTGTTGACCTCAATTTCTTCACCTATAAAATAAGCTGGAAAAGGAGGTGGCAAACCACTCCACTATCTTTAACCCCAATTTGGGTCACAAAGAGTCGGACACGACTGAAATGACTCGACAACAAAAAGACCTTAATTTCATTCCTATACCTAGCTTGCCCTTGTCTTTTTTTCCTGCCCTAGCCCTACTCACTTTGGTAGTTAAAGTTAGCTTTTTTCCCCCCACCAAAAGCACCGATGATGGCAGAATATTCAATTAACTTTCCCCACAGTGAAAGAGACAAATGTTTTTAGAACCTTTACTAGGTCAGGGCAGCTGGGGCTTTGTCTGAGGTGCCTACATCAGGGAGCAGGGTATGAGTCTTCCCAAGCTTGGGAGCATGCTTGTTTCCCCTTTTAGGTAGTCTGGACACAGTAATCCCAATGCCCATCAGTCCTCATGGTTTTCCACTGGACAGCACCCCCATGGAACAAGGAGGGCCTTAGGAGGGGATAAAGAGCTGTAGCTCAGAAGAAGTCAGAGAGGAAGGGAAGGGGGTGGGCCACACTGGCAACTCTCCCAGAAGATTCTGTATTGGCTTATGTTTCCACGGGAGTTGGAGGGGAGGCAGAGAGCTGGGCTATAGGGCTGGAGAAGCATCCCCTCTGCCTAGTTAAATTGACATTTGCACGGCTACCTCCTCACACTTCTCCAGACTGCCTTCTATCTTCCCTCTACCTCCTTCCAGCTGTTTTTTTGCCCCAGATGAAAAAATTCCTAGTTTTTCTTCTGGGTGCTTTGAACTGTTTGAACTAAGTCATTTTATTTCCTTAGTCATTAATTTCCTTCTCACTTATCAAACTACAGTTGAGTTATTATATTTGTACAGAAGTTCAAGAGACCCAAGAGAGGCACGGTAATCAACAACTAAGTTCATAGCAACATCCTGTTTTTATTTTTTTAAGTCATTCTTTCCCATGTACTTTCACCTAACTAATGCTTGTGCAATAGAAAGAAGGCTGGGTTTGTAGTCAGATGATCTGAATTCAAATCCCAGCTCTGTTGCTTACTCCCTGGTGACCTTGGGAAAGTCACTTTAACCTCTCTGGGACTCAGTTTCCTTATCTGTAAAATGAAGGAGTTGGACTGGGACTAAATGGTCTCTGAAACCCCTTCTAGCTCAACCTTTATGATTCTATCAACTTCAGCAGAGTCAACTTACTGCCTTAATCTTGTATACTTCTTCAGGGGTTCTGGGTTCACCTTTTAGAAAGGATCATGGGCTCATCTATGTGAGTCCTATAAGGTGGATACAGTATTAAAATATTTGGTTGGATCAGATCACTATGGATAGATTGTAAGCTCTTTGAGGGCAGGCACTATTTCATTTTTTAATCTTCATATCCCTGGCATCTAGCACAGTGTCTGGCCCATATAAATGAGTATACACATACTCATATATGCTATAGCAGGCATTTAATTAAGGCTTATTGATTAATGGATTATTTTAATACCCTTATTGCATCCTGAAGGATGAACAGTAATACTTAAAGAAGATTAGAATAAGTAGGGATATGCTGGTAATATTTAACAACCAAATTATTGGATGGTGGGGAGGTGTATATGTATACACAGCATACTTTTAAGTTTAATTGACATTATTAACATTTTTTCCGTCACTTTCTTAAGTCTATAAATCAACAAAACAATAGGTCAAGCACTGATTTATAGCATTTGCTGATTTCAGAGGTATAAATATGCGCACTGAAAATTAGCAATTGGCTACTGAAATTCCCTTGAAAGTATGCATCTTGACCACATAAATATCTTATTTGTTAGAAGTAAAATAGACTGATGACATTTTTTTTTCTGTTCTGATTCAGATGACACTATAGATGCAATCAGGTTGACACTTGAGGGGGGTATTATAATTCTTTTGCCTTACACACCTAATCTCATCAATTAGATTGTAAACTCCTTGAGAGCAGGGGCTGCCTTTTGCTTCTTTTTGTATACCCTAGTGCTTAGGGCATAGTAGGGACTTACTAAATGTTAATTAATTGATTGATTCAGCATTTTGGATTTAAGTACAAAAAGTAATGCTGAGACTGTGAGCACCAAAAAACAAAAAATGAAATTTAAACTTGACAATTATTAGGTAAATTTCGCTGGCATAATTGGCTAAGCCAGAGAATTATGTCCAATAGCAGAGTTCTCCTAGATATTTTATTATACTCCATCCTCCAAATTTCATGTCATTGTATATAAGTACATTTTAGGTGCTATTAGATTCAATTAAATCTTCACAGAATAGCTATGCTATATAGACTGCAAATCTTTCAAAAAAGAATTCAAGCCAACGAACTCAGTTTGAAAGAACAATCAAAATTCATGAATAATGGTTCTGTTTATGCTTCTTTTTTCAAAGTTAATTATTTGTTTCTCCAAGGAAGGTCACCAAGGTTGTCAGCACAGAAAGTATTAGGGAAGGTTGGCTTCCTGCTTCAAAATGCAAGACTATTCATTGACATTTGAGGCAGTCAAATACAATGTAAACTCCTTTTAACTCTTTTCATTTATGGGTTGTGGAGTTAAAGGACCCGGGGATCAAAACTAGCCTTCCATGCTTATTACCTGTGTGATCTTGGACAAGTCATTTAACCTTTCTTGGGTCTTAGTTTTGTCATCTGTGAAACGAGGAGATTTGGACTAACTAGTTTCTGAGATCTTCCTGATCTTCCTCTGATTGTAAGTTTGCAAAAAGATTTATATTTTCTCATGGACAATGGCAGTTAAAATTAAAGCATACCCTGTTTGTTAGAGGTATAATTAGCCTTCTGACAAAAGGCAGCATGGTGTAGTGACATGGTCTCCAGATAAGTAGATCTGAGTTCAAGTTCTACTCCTGCCACATACTTGCCGTGTGAACCTGGGGAAGTCATTTAGACTCAGTGTTCTAAAAGAGGTGCCCACCTGCATTGGTAGAAAGAGTTTTCTCATTTGAGAGTTTCCTATACCAATTAAATCGGAGATCCAGTCCTTATTCCTATCACTAAAACATTAATTATTAAATAATATTCTAATATCTATAGTGTATAAACTAAATACAGAATCATAATAGTATTTGAGTATCCACAATATATAAGGATGCATAAGAAATGTACAAAAACAAGCAATGTATAAGAAATTCTGACTATGATCTTATAAAAGGAGATAAGATAAGCAAAAATCACCTTCTTGGGTGAGTTTTTCTTTTCTTCCCTAAATAGCACTTACAAAATTAATTCCTTCATATAATGGGAAAGAGTATTTAGTCCCTCTCATGAGCTATTGTCACACATTCCCCACTGCCTCTTAGATACTGAATTGGATGTCCCAAGGACATCTCAAACTCAACAGAATCCAAACAGAACTCATCTTTCCTCCTAACCCTTCCCACTTCTGAGGGGACCACCTCCAGTTGTCCTGATCTATATCTTGCCACTGGACCCAGATGGCTCCAGAGGAGAATGTGAAGCTGGTGACCTTCAACAGCCCTCCTTCACTTAAATCCAATTCACTTGAAAGTCATGACATTATCTTCCTGATGTCATGGTCCCCTTAGAGAATGAAGGACAAACAGCAACTTCTGAACTTCTCTATTACAGTTGAGGGCACCACCATCTTCCCACTCACCCAGACTTGCAAACTGAGTCCTTGACTACTCCTTCTCCCTCACCAAATACATCCAATCCACCACTAAATCTTGCTGTTTCTCATGTCATGATTTGTTTCATATAGTACTTATACAGCCACAACCTTAGTCTAGGCCTTAACCACTTTACAAATGAACAAATGCAATTACCTTTCTATTCTAATTCATCTTCCACTCAGCTGCCAAGGTAATTTTTGAAAGCTCAGGTTCTGACCATGTCATCCCCCTGCTCAATGAACTCCAGCGGCTCACTATTACCTCCAGGATCAAATATTTACTCCTATTTTTGGCATTTAAAGCTCTTTAAATTTTGGCTATTTGCTAACTGTCTAGCCTTCTAACACTTTCCTTATACCTCTATGCAATCTACATACAGCTACTGACATCCCATCTCTCATCTCCATGACTTTGCCTAGCTGTTCCTTCTCCCTGGAATGCTCTGCCCTCTCACATTCCTTCAGAACAGGTCTGACCCTGGCACTCTCCTATCCAATAAATTTCAGCGGCTCCCACCTATAGGATTAAATATAAAATCCTCCATTTGGCTTTTAAAGCCCTTCATAACTTGACACTTCCTACCTTGCTAGATTTCTTATACCTTCTTCAGTTCCACACACTGTAATCCAATGTTGTTGGCCTCCAAGATGTTCCTCACACTCACAACACTGTGTTGTCTAGCTCTGGGGATTTTCACTGGCTGTCCCAATTGCCTGGAACTCTCTCCCTCCCATCTCTGACAGCCAGCTTTCTGGGCTTCCTTCAAGTCTCACCTTCCAGAAGAAGCCTTTCCCAATCCTCCTTAATCTCAGCATCTTCCCTTTGAGATTATTTCCAATTCTGTCTTTATCTTCTTTGTTATTTACATATCAACAAACATTGTTTAGGTGTTGTCTCCCCCATTAGATTGTGAGATCCTTGAGATAATGGACCATCTTTGGCCTTTTTTTGTATCTCTAGTGCTTAGAACAGTGCCTGGCACGAAGAAGGTACTTAAAAATGCTTCTAGACTGATTTCACCTCTTAATTTCTGACTTCTTTCGAGGCTCTGTAGTCACTCAAAGGAATTTGTTCTGACCATCCACATAGGAAAGACCAAGTGGATGATTAATAGTCGTTGCCTATATTATAGTATGCATCACAGACCAACAACCTATAGATCTTGTCCATCAAAATCTATACTTGGGACATAAAATATAGATAGAAAATGAGGTAAGCCCAGATGGAGAGCAGGTTGTATTGTATTTGGGAAACTGCGAAACTCTTTTAATGACCCTAATATTCTAATGAAAGCAAATGCTCATATTTTTATATGGCAATGAAACAGTCTCCAAAGAATTAAAAATGAATATTACAGTAAGGTCAATGGGGAGGCACCTCATGACTATGGGTAGGTATGATACAGAAACAATTAAGATTTGCAAAGAATGGGAATACAAAATATCATCAAGGAATTATATGAAAGTTGGCAAAGGTGAGCAGCTCATGGAGCAAGGATGAGGGATGGCAGGTAGATGTTTGGATTCCTCTAGTTTTCCTTGAATTATCATGAGAAAGCTAGGAAGGCTTCTGCTATATTACATTGACCCCCTTTGACAAACTTATGGGAAGCCATGGATAAAAGTGGCACCATAAGGGCAGGAATGGATGGGTTGTTGGAAGGACCTTCCACACTGATGAGACCAAAGTTCTATTTGAGTATATATTGACACAATTTGACGGAGAAGTTAAGCCAAATCACTATTAAGAATCTACTTTGTGCCAGACACTATGCTAAGAACTGAGGATATAAAAAAATGGCAAAAATATAAAACAAAACAAAACAAAAAAGCAATCCCTGTTCACAGTTTAATGGATGACATAGCATGTAAACAACTACATATAAACAAGATATGTATGTGATAAATTGGAATAACTAAGATTAAAGACTAGAAAAGACTTCTTGCAGAAGGTGAGACTTTGACTGAGAACAGAAGGAAGCCAAGGAAAGAAGGAGGCAGAGAGGAAGGAAAGAGAGTTCTAGGCTGGGAGGATGGCTAGTGAAAATGCCCAGAGTTGGAAGGTAGAGTATTGTGTGTTAGGAACAACAAGATGGCTGGTGTCACTGGATTGAAGAAAATGTTGAGGAGTAAGGCTCAAGATCAAAAGAAGAGAATTCATTGGAATATTCAAATACATCTATATAAGATAGACTGGTGAGAGGTTGGAGACAAAGAGGTGAACAAGAAAGCAGTAGCTAATGTTCCAGATGTGAATTAATGGTGGCTGAGGTAATGGAAAAAAAAAAATGGAGAGGTATTTCAAAGACCATACTGGATTGGCTCTAGGGATCAAAGCAAAAAAGAAGAGTGAAACCTCAAATCTGTGAATTTTTGAGATTATAAAGATGGTGGAATTTTGATGGTTTATCAGGAAAGGGAGAGAAGGTTATAAGTTTCATGTTGAACTTAGAAGTTTTATATATTGGTATTAATGAGACAACAAATGCAATTAAGTAGAGCTGTCTTATAGAACTCTGCATATACAATACTAGAGAGTTTGGAAGGTCAGAACCTGATGTGCAAATCTGCCTGAGATAGAAGTAACAATCTGGTGGCAGTTGGAATTGTGAGGAGATTTTGCCAAGGGGTGAATGAAAAGGGTGAAAAACCAGAGTATTAGTCATGAAGATGTGTTTTACCTTTACCAAAGAACATTGAAAAAGAAACTTTGATTAATTATATATTAATTATGTATTTTTCATTGGTAAGATAATGCATCTGTAGGAAAGTATGCTACATTTCTTCACAATTTTTTGTAGGCCAAAGCCTACTCCTTACTAGTATAATTACCAATTTTGTGGTGTATGCAAATTGTATTCACTCTTCCATATGACAACATACCTCAGGGGAAACTTCTATAATTCCAAATTGAGATAGACTCTGATGTAAAACATTGATATTGAGAGAATGTAGCACTTCTTCGGATGGCAGAGCATCTGAAATTCCAGTTTTCCTGTTTACTGGAGATACAAACAGCTCAATGCTGTTCTTCTTCCCCTAAACAAAAGGAGAACATTTTTAGATATGACAAGAACAAGTAAAATTTGGGATGGTTCTATGATATTTTTAAAATAAACATTATAAGACACATAGAATGGTAAAATTCATCAATTTTTAGAAATTAATGTGACCAACAGATCATATATGTAAGAGCATATGGTTATTCTGTGGCCTGATTTTATAATTTGTTATTTATTTAAAAAACCCAATTTACTCCTTAAGTTGGCCTCCCACAATCTAGTGGCAAACCACAACAGGCATTTTTACAGTTCTCAAAACTGTTTATTTGCAGTTGACAATTAGAATTTTAACTATATGGGATTATGCTTTTGCCATTGGGTGATGAAAATAAATTTTAAACATTTGTTTTAATGAAAAAATATATGTGATGTTGGTCACATAGATATAATGCTAAACCACATACATATTATATGTATGTGTATATCTATATCTCTATATATGTAAATACCTATATCTATCTATATCTATATGGAGAGGGAAAGAGAGACAGAGAGAGAGTGAGAGTGTGTGCTTGGAGGCACTGTGCTAACCTCTCTCTATATGTATATGTCTATGATGTATCTATCTATTTATTTAATTTATCTGTCTTAAGATAGCGCCTTTTAAATAGTTGTGATACATACACACATACACATATCTATATTTTGTGGTTTTTTAATTTAGATTGTGTATCTTTGTCTTACTCAAGCTGGAAGTGCAGAAGACACTTGTGGAGCCAATCCTACTAGTATATATTGGGATAATCAATAATTATGTATATTTAATAATTATATGTATATATATGACTGTATGTGTGTACATATGTGTGTATGTATATGTATACATACACATGTGCATATATATTTATAATTTTTAAATTTGTGGAAGAAAACAAGCATTTCCATAACGTAATATAATACAAAAAGATGATTACACATGAAACTGCAAATCTATTATAATAGTTTGCTTTTCCTTTCAAATATATAATTCCTTTTAAATATATAACATAAATAAATATATAATAATCGTGTAAATTTTCTCCCCCAGTTTTTCTTCCCTCCTCCACCCCCGCCCTAGAGATGGCTATCATTAGACACAAATTAGTCTGCATATATATAATATTTCTATATATGCTTTTATTCATCAGTTCTTTCTCTGAGTACAGATAGAAGTTTTCTTCATATGTCCTTTATAGTTAATTTGGGCATTTATAATAATCAAAATGACTTATTCTCTTAAAGTCATTCTTGAAATTATATTACTGTTACTATATACAACATTCTTTTGGTTCTGCTCATTTCACTCTTCATTATCTCACGAAAGTCTTGTTTTTCTAAGATCATTGAGCTCACTGTTTCTTATAGCACAGTAGTATTCCGTCACAATCATATACCACAACTTGTTCAGCCATTCTCCAATTGATGGGTTTAATACTTAATATTGAAGCTTTAACATTCTCTGTTTTTCTATCTTGGACCTCTCTCCTCTTCCTTAGGCAGCCTGGTGGCCTGCCCTTCCTGAAGGGTGTGCTGGTCCTAGTAGGATTATCTGGTCAGCTTTAGCCCTACTGCAGCTCAGAAATCCTAAAGTCAAGAGATCTACCAGCCACCTCCTCTCCTAGTAGCAGAGATTACAGGCATGTACCAGTATATTCCCAAAAGCCTTCCTTGAGTAAATTACTTAATCTCTCTCAATCTTTCTATACTTTATCTAGTGAGCCACCTAGCTTCCTCAGGGTGGTTATAAGGACCAAAAAAATAATGTATGTAACTGTTTTTGCAAACTTTGCAATGCTATATATGTCATTATTATTATCATCATCATCATAGAAAAACACTACATTACATCTTGGTTTCTCTGAATTATTAACTTTACTACAGTAAAAAAAAAAACCCAAACATCTACTGGATATCTCTTGTCTATGCTTTGTGATAAAGGTAACCTTTCACAGAGTATCTCATATAAATGACATGGTGACAACATTTTGCATACCGATAGATAAGTAGGTAGGGGGAGAGAAAGAGAGATGGAAACAGAGTAAACATGTGAACTGCCTGGTTGCACCTACATACAGTCGGCACCTAGGAAGTTTTTGGAAATGTATCAAGACAATTAAATGAAAGGTGCTTTCCTTGTGGCAGAGTGCCATACTTACTCAATGTAAATATTCTAAGAATAAAAGAACAAAATTGTATTTAGCTGAAGTTAAATCAAGCTTGCTAAGTTTTCTCCAGGACTTGTAAGACAATCTTAAGGAGCACAATTAAAGTAAATTCTTCTCAAGCTGAAATATTTAGAGGAACATATAAAGTTTGGTGTCAGGGAAGGGATTAGAATTATAAGCAAATGAGAAGCTATGATAGGAAAGCAGATTTTGGCTCAAAATAGGGAGGAACTTTCTCTTTCAAAAAAGACAGGGTGTCCCAAAAATTTTAGTGCAGTTTAAAATCCTACTGCTTAAAAACTGCACTAAAACTTTTGGGACACCTCATATTGCCACAGGTGACAGTGAATTCTCAGTCACTGAATGCTGTTGTAGTGAATACCTCATTCTTCTCCCTCTCTTTTTTTTATATAAAATTCAGATTAAAATGGTACATGGACAAATTACAATCCTGCTATTATTCTTGTATAGTTGATGTTCTACTGAGTAACGCACCACTAGAAAAAATAATTGCTTTTTGTAGTTGAATAAAAATTTGGGGCTGTAACGTCATCTTCTCCAGGTTCATTAAAAGCATCTTCCATGCATCTTTAGGAGTCAAAAGGATTACAGGGACAATAGGTACTTCACCTTATGTCCACACAATTTTGGTCTCCTCTTATAGGTGGTAGGTTGGGTAGTTGTGTAGGTGGTACGTTGGAGAGCCCTGGATCTGCAGCCAGAAAGACCTTAGTGCAAATCTAGTCTTGGATACTAGCATTCCATGTTACTTAACCTCTGCCTGCCTCAGTTTTCTCATCTGTAAAATGGGGATAAAATATCTACCTCCAAGGATGGTTGTGAGGCTAAAATGCAGTAATATTTGTAAAGCACTATATAAATCCTAGCTCTTCTTGTTCTTCTTCTTCCTCCTCCTTCTCCTCCTCTTCATCTTCTTCCTCTTCCCTTTCTCCTTCTTCTCTCTGCTCTTTCCCCTGCCTTTCCCCTTCCCCTCCTCCTCCTTCTTCTTCCTCATATCTTGAAAACTACTTATCCTAAGTAGCTTGGAGCACCTGTTATGGTTACAACATTAAAATGTTGTTCTTCAGTTTTTATGAATCGATGTTACGTCCAGTGGACTTTGGGCACAGTTTGACCTGGAGTTATGGTCAGTTTCATCGTATGCCTGTATAAAGTCCATATTTGTTGTAGAGGGATTAATCTGCCGTCCACCCATCACACCTAATAGCAAGTTCCTGATATATAATTTTAGCCACCAAGTTACATCTTGTTTGGTATTTAGGCACTCATTACTGTAGTCTACAGTGAGCTACTGAATAGTTTGATTGTGTAACCTACATGGATCACAAAGTCTGGGTTCCTTAAGGATAACACTTCTTAATAGAAGGTGGTCATAACTTGGTCCTGAATTTTCAAAATAACCCCCTTCTCCCCTCAAATGTATCCATCTGACTCAACCATTTGTTTGACATATGAGGCAGTTTTGTGTAGTGGATAGGGTGCTGCTGAACTTGGAGTCAGGAAAACCTAGGTTCAAATCCAACCTCAAATACTTCCTAGTTGTATGACCCTGGGCAAGTCATCTATACTCTTTGTGCCTCAGTTTCCTCATTTATAAAATGAGGGGGTTGGAGTCAATTTCCTCTAAGGTCTTTTCTATCTCTAAATCTATGTTCCTATTGTTGTTCAGTGATTTAGTCATGACCCCATGGACCATAGCACGCCAGGGCCTTCTCTCCTCTACTATCTCTCAAAATATGTCCAAGTTCATGATCATTGTTTCCCTGACACTATTTATTCAAGTTATCTTCTGCCATCTCCTTTTCCTTTGCCTTCAGTCTTTCCCAACATCCAGGGTCTTTTCCAATGAGTCCTGTCCTCATTATGTGGCCAGAGTATTTAAGCTTCGGCTTCAGCATTTGGCCATCCCTGAATAGCTTGAATTAATTTCTTTAAGTATTTCTTTAAGTACATGTTCCCATAATCCTCTCCAACTTCCAGATTCTGTGATTAATTTCATGTAATATTCCCCCCAGCACTTAGCACAGTGCCTGGCACACATAGTGTATACTTGATAAATGTTCTTTGAGATACTGTTATTAACTGATGCTTCTTGGTTGACGTATTTGCTGTTAATGTGAATGTCATTCAGTGAGGATGTTTTGATTCTACACTTCGATCTCAGCCATTTCAGAGGCTCCATTCAGAACCAGACCACTGCCCATTACATTGGACAACTCCAGTGTGTCCCTGTTAAACAACCTCTACTATTGCTTACTGATGTGTTCTCTGTTCGTTCGAAAAGTATTTCTGTTGGGTTTTGACCTATTTATCATATACTTTAAGAATTTCTGAAGTCAATCCTCTTCCTCCTTTTTGGTGAGAAAGACTTTTAGTGCCTTAAACAAGGTTTTTAACTCCTTTTGTAGCATGGACCTCTTTAGTAGTTTGGGCAAGCCTATGAATGTACTAAGAATAATATTTTTTAAATGCACAAAATAAAATACATATAATTACAAAAGAAATTAACTGTATTGAAAGAGAGTCATCAATATAAAACATCTCACTGACTCTAGGTTAAGAACCTGATGGGCCCTGAGTTTTATTAAGGACTAAAAATATCTATTAAGAGTTGACATTGCATTGGTGTTAATAGCTTTAAATGTATTCTTCCCATTCATCTTTGATCTTAAGATGCCAATATTTCCTTAATACATTAAACATATTTAGTTATAGCCTTTAAAAATATATGTCTTCATGTTCAGTGTGTCTAGCCTGCAAAGGCCAAGGAGTTTGCCATTGTTTCCTATGTGACTTCTAGATTCAAGCCCAA